GAAGCTACGGACGACACGAGCGAAATTGTAAAACTAGCTGAAGAAGTAATGATACTTCAAAGAGGCTGGAATATCTTTGACACAGATATCGTAATAATTTCAATGACGTTCCCATAAAGTTATTGGACAATGGCTAATGGAAGAATGGAAAAGTGAACTGCATTTAAATTATGCAGAAATTGTATTTTTCGAGTGACGTTTAACTTTACGTTTAACTAATGTTAAACGATTTTTCATTTCCTGGTTAACTTGAAATTAGGCTTAACCCTGTAGTAATGTAAAAAAACTGTATTTTTCTATAGTTAATTACTAAATTAATGATTTTGTAGTACATAACTTTTAAAATTACCGCTACAAAACTATTAGTTTAGTGACTAATCATTCATCTAGAAAAGCACATTTTTTACATTGTCATCAAGTTAAGTAAGGTTAAGTTAACCACAAGTTAACCAGATAATAAAAAATCACGATTAAATGGGTAGGTAGGATGATCAGAACACCTCAGGTACAGTTTTCTTTAAAATCTTGTTTGGAAAAGGAAAATAAAAAGTATTGAAAAATTACTTATTCGTTTAAATTAAATGTTCAATCATAAACATTACTCTCTAACGTCACGTGGCGCGTTGTTCCTAAAAAAAAAAGCAGAAATATTTTATCTCGCACTGAAGCGCATTAAACAACATTCGATTCGTGCGTGGACAGAAATATTTTACGATGTTTAGTATTTACAGTGAGCATTTTTCGGGATCCCGCGTAACATTAAAATCGTATTTCACGCGCGACCAGCGCGGCAGCGGTAAAATTCATGCGCGAGAAAGGAGGGGGGACGAAAAAAAAAGAAAATCAACAATACAGCGTCGCGTTCATAAATCCCGCGCGCATACGAACGCATTGTTCGCGAGCGCGAATTAAACCGCTGCGTTTTGACGCATAAAGTTCTACTCGTCGATGAGCCATTAATTAGCTTCTGCGGCACGGACGCCGCGGCAGGCATCAAACAGGATGAACGCGGGATTCCGACGAGCTTTCGTAAACCGGCGTGATACATACGCTATCCCCGATTATGATACGCCCTACTAAGGATTCATAGCGCGATTACGTGGTCGAATTTATCGCGTTAATCATGAATTCGCTCATGCGTTGCATGTAACTACGATGAGAGGGACGATGAATTGTTTTAAAGCCTATCAATGAAAATCTATGATATATCCTGAAATTTTGCTCCTTAACTTTGAACCTTAGTTTTAGGACATATGTAGGCTCTAGAGATTTATAATAAGTTTTAATCTAATGAATTGAACTCCTACGTTGAGCCTGTAAATGACAGTTATCGGAAAATTTCCTATTTTTAGGTTCAAAAGAAGTTTTCTAAATAGAAGCTGTAGATTAAGTAATATTAAAAGAGGTCCTATTTGATTGTTTAAGTATCAAAACAGATTTATGAGGTTTAATTGAGGTTGAAAAAGATTGAAAGTAGGCTAAAATTTCGACTCGGGATGATAAACGAGGTAGAAGACCTTTTGTTGTTGCTCTTTGGCTTACACAAAACTCGTTGAAATAGGAAAGATATCTTGTTCGAAGATGTGGAAGCGATTCTTACGTTTGTGAGAAATATTTAATATTGACGTTATAACGCTCGCTAGTTTAATGCAACGTTAAATCATAAATACATTTTTTATCCTTTCATATTTTTACTATGACAATTCGTCGATTGACGATTAACTTAATCAAGGATCGAGTGATAATATTTATTCCGCATCAGTTGTCTCGAATAAAACTCGTTGAGAAAGACTTCTTGTCTTGTCTAATTACTGTGATATACTGTTATTTAATTATCTCATATTCAAAGACTGCAATGACTTGCAGATTTTCTCTTCATAATGTTACAGCAGAGTGCCAATTTCAAGGAACTTGGTGACTGAATAAATATAATATTCATTAAATAATACGGATGTCACATTTATGTGACAGGGACGTTGCATTAAAGGCTTAAATAAAATACACGATTGGAGTTCGTAATAAAATGATTTTCATCGCTAACGAAACATCAAACTTTTAAAAAAGCTTTCATCTGTCGAGTATGAGAGCTCGCTTTCTATAAATGGACACGTAACTATGTCGATATTTAAATTTGAATGTATTGTATTAGTATATCACTCTAAATCTGTAGCAGTAAAATTGTACTGCATTGAATTGAGATTTCACTCCGGGCATTAGTGGCAACTGAGCCAGTGAATTTTACTGCAAGATGGGAGTGAAAAATCCTCAATAATTGGAGTGAATTTGTTAAAAAGGAATAAATTTGGAGATTATAATAGAGCGAATAATATCACTCCAAGGGGAGAATGAATGATTTTTATTTAACTATGAAAAATTTATTTTCTCCCTAAAAAAGGGAGATATACTTACGTACAAACTTCTATGTAAGAAGTTTCACACGTTAAAAAGTACATAGACTATATTCTACATACGGCATGAAACTAGTCGAACAATTCCAACCATCCCAGCTTTATATTACATAGACATTGAATTTCTCTTACGGGAATACGCGCTATCTGTTGAGGAGCTCCGCGAAACGTTCCTCATTTTAAATTAGAATGACTGCGTCTCGCCTAATTTATTCACTTTGATTGATCAAGTCGGTTGAAATAATCCACTTCTTGCATAAGAGTAGACCAATTAAGTTCAAAGAAGCGAAAATTCACTTTTAAAATAGTGATTTTGCAACTTACTTTTGTTTGGAATGAAATTTTTATTGAAAGTTTAGAGTGTATTAGCGCTAAATCATTACAAAACAAAATGAAAATGTAGAAAAGATTCTCATCTTTTTACGAAATATTTGATATTGATATTAACTCTCGCGAGTTTAAATAGCGAATAATCAAATTTGTCATTCTTTCTGATTTTTATGATAATTCGTCGACCAATCGTTAACTTAATCGAAGACTGAGTGATCTGCGTTCGTGATTCCGAAATTCGTTTTAATGTTAAATATCTTCACGGATGTGTTACTCTCGTTGGCAGCCAAGGCAACTGCTCGTAAGGCCACGGCTACTTTTGTAGAAGCCAATAGAAGCCAAACTCAAGATTGTCGAGACTTGACCCAGTCTGTTGATCGACACGAAACTTCGTCCATTCACGCGGCATAGACGACGCAAAGTTTTCGCGAGATACACATCTGTGGACGAAAGGACACGTCGAAGTTTTGCAGCCGCCGACCGCGTACCGCTACTCGACTGCGTTATTCAAGACATATTCGCGTACTACACTGCGGTCGAGCTGATCCGACGCGCACATTGGCTGGCACTTGATGAAATTAACACGCTTCGAAAGTTCAGAGTTAATTAATTTTCAATTCGCAGCGACCAGTTCCTGTCGTTAAACTGCTATTATCGCTTCTCGATCAGGCGACTGCGTGCGTTCGTATGGGACAAATTGAAAAGTTACCGAATGTTTGACATGGAGCCGGAAAATTCGACGTTTGTCGAAGGTGTACTCTCTACCATCGTTGTCGTTTAAGCACGAAATATTTCAACGCAGATTTCGCGAAAATTACCATCCGCGTACTAATATTCAGCGAGAACGTACAACAGGAGGAATCTTCTACTTTCAGACAAAGCGCATTTGGAACGCAAATACCGTTGTGCACCTGTACCGTGCAGGAGCAAGAGGGAGGTAAGGCATTAAGCAGCCATGTTTCTGCCAAGAAAAACAGCAGCGATGAGCAACATCGATTAAACATTCCCCCGCATGAATTAAAGAGACTAAAAATTTGTTTACCTCCGAGAACTACCTCGCGACGGTCGACCTGCATTCTCAAATGATTTAAATTTCAAATTGTTCAAATGACCAAAACTCCCGGAGGTTCCAGGCGGCACGACGGTTGGTTTCTGTCATCTTTCTCTCTCTCTCTCTCTCCCTCTCTCTTTCAGACCCCACTTTCTTTTTCTCTTCTCGCGGAGAGACCTGGACTCAAGAAGGAAATAACAGTAGAAGCAACACTTCAATCATGCGAATTAATACGGAGAGAAAAGCGCGCGCACAATGCAATTAAAGGATAACAGAGCCATTAACGTCTTGTGACACAACAAATCAACTCGAACTTTCGTAAATTGAAACACTTGAATGTTTAAATATTGAAAAAAAAATAAACTACCAAATATATCCTTCTTAATAGGCAAAATAAATTTGAAGTTTTTCACTTAACCACAAAAATAAATAGTAAAAATGATTAACGTATAATGTGCTAATTTTAAATTAATTCTCGTTCTCCTTTCGATTTTGCCGAATTTTATGCTTATCATTCACATTCATTTGTTGTGCTTCTTTTCATTGTAATTTTGTTTCTCGTAATATTTTTTTATTATTTTTGTTAACTCGTTAATTCAACAATTTATTATTTATACCGCATATTTATCATAAGTTCATCACAAGCATCACGTTTATTCAAAATATGTTCTGAATCTTAAGTTTAATATATTTCAATCAAGACTATTAAATTAAAACAAATTCAATTTGTTTATTATATAAAGTCGTTCTTTCAATCAATTTTATAATATTCCTTAAAAGAAAATAAATTCTTGTTTTAAGTTATACATAAGTAATGAGTTTTTCTAATTTGTAATAAGATGATAATATGATAAATGAGATTTTCTAATTTGTAATAAGTATATTTTAAGATTATTATGAAGAAAATATTCTTTAAGATAATCTGTTACTTAAAAGGAAGAAAATAATTCGAGTAAGTACCCAGTATAGAACATGCAGCAATATCGTTGCAATAACGCTGCAATATTGCTGCAACTTTTGTGCTGTAGAGGTAATCATTTTTCTTAGCGTAAAACAACATGCTGATGTTTCACTTTTTGAGGTGCATCTTCTCGTTTATTTTTTACTGTACATTTATTTATACTTTCGTTATTTTACATTTCGACAAAGATTATTATAATTTATATTGTATATTATTGGGTGTATTTTGTAGCTAAAAATCGCTTTTGCAGGCGGTGTGCGTGGCGCTCAGGGCAGCAAAGTGTCAAAGCGGGCGAAGCCCCTCGATCCCGATGAGGATGACTATTACTACGATGATCCCGTGGACGAGAGAAACAATCCGACGAACGAGGCGCCGGCCGTGCCGCCTGGATTCCTGAGCCCGTCCGTGCGGGAGTACCTCGATCTTGGTAAATCGATACCCGGTACGTAAACAAGATCATCTCGCGCAAAGTTGTCCTTTTGTTGAGCCGCTTGTCGGATCGGGGCCGATCTCCGGTTGACTCGCAACAATCTCGCTCTCTTCATCCTATGCTTCTTCCATCTCTGTGTGCATAGCTTCCGGAATCTGTTCTTACTCCTCCGCTTCGCTTTATCCACCCTTCTTTTCCCGTTTTCTCTGCACGTCACATTTTTTCCCCTCGTATGTCTCTCTTCCGCGCCAAGTGTCTTTTGAAATCGAGAGTAAGAAATCGGATGGCATTTTATGCCATCGCATAAAAGCCGATCGATCGTTATTTCTCGCTTGCTCGCAATAGATAAAGTCTAGAAATGGAAACTTTACGCGGAGATGAGCCGGACTCGCAAGACGCTCGCAAGTAATTCCATCAGATAATGAGAAATAATGAGGAAATGGAGAAAGCAAGAGATATGACGAAAGGTAGAGGAGACAAGTCGATTGCGTAGACACTTTCCGTCGAACGCGTCTTCCGTATTCTCGAGCAGAAAATATTTCACGCTCGACGGTGCCAGACTGTGAGAAATGTCAGGAACGCGGGAGTTACGCGTGGAATTGACCCTTTACTTTAAAGTACTGTCTGCGAGCGTTTCCCCTTATTCATAAGAATAGAGAACGCTGCCCGAATCCGCGAGAAATACGTAACTGTATATAACAGTTGAATAATCTAATACATTTGTGAAATTATCATATATTTCCGAGCAAAGTTTCGCGCGGAAAGATATGCATCTCTATGGAAGGTTTCATTTATCTTGATCTACTTATATACACAATACTGATATAAGTTTGGCAAGGTATATAGAGTGGTCCAGAATGGATAATTAAAAAAAAAATATTTATTTATAAGTTTTGAGACTGATACTTTTTCGAATAAAAATATTCAAGACTCAGCACACAAAAGAAGAAATATCAGGACATACAAGATGCATAGGTTCTACAAAAAGTGACTGGAATTGATTGGAAATTTATATAACTTTCCGTGTAAAAATGTATATACATGTATGTATATATATGTATAAAACAGTTCAATAGTTAAAAATTATTTATATTTAACAATATAATTTTATAGTTTAAATAAATGAAAAGAATCTTTAATTTAAAAAAAAAAACATGTCTACTTCTTATTGAATCTAATTTTTTCCAAGTTCTAAATCGCTACCAAACTTTCCATTACTTTCAAAGTCATTTCACACACAAATACATTTTAGAAAAATCTATATTTTTGTTTTGTTAAAAAATATATGTAATGCATCCTTAAATACTAAAAATAAAAAAGTTAAAAAGAGATAATACAAATAAAATATAAAATATATAAATATCTTGTATTTTATTTGTATCTATTGTGCATTAGATCTATCTTCTATTCCTAATTTTTCTATCTAAATATTTAATTATTATTCTTGTTCCTAATATTTCTAGCAATATGTGCAAAGTCTTAGATATACTAATTGTTTCTTTCAATCATTGACTGTCGATTTTTACGAAGCCTCGATATAAACATTAATTAAAAAATATCTATATGGTTCAATATTAAAAGCTAGAAGAAACGACAACAGAAGTTCGATAAAATAACAAAAAATCGGCTTCATAAAGTTAATGTTTACTGCACACTGGATTTTACATTGTCACGCGAGAAAAAGCAGAAGCTTTCATTGCATTGAATATCGCTCGTCGCTTATCGTCCATCACGACCAGTAGGCATCATCCTCGAGACATCACGATTTTTGACAGTTTTGAGACATGTCGTGTAGCCTACTCTACGAGATGGCGATTGTACAAGAACATGTGGAGACACCGTTCGTGCGAATGAAGCGTGAGGTCGAGCGATATGCTTTGCAGAATGCGATTATATAAGATTTGCCGGCCGCAAATGGATGGGATTTAAATCTAGACGGACGACGCAATACCGCCGGCGTTCATAAACACCCTTCAGCGGGTAATCTGGCCGACAATAGACGCCGGAATGAGGAGGAAGATGCCGGCGCGAGGCGGAAGTATAAGGAAATACGTAGCCGCATACCTCGACGAGCAATAACTTATCTTCTATCCGCTTCTTACCTTTTCCTCCTCGTTTCCGCAATCGTATAAAGCGCGCTCAAGCCGGAGAAGAAACTCGTCGAATACGAAAGCGCCGCTCCGTTTCGCGGAGATACTAGCAATTTCACTGATATTCCGCGGCTCTGCTCAGACGAGACAGAAGGGCACACCACGTAACGACCGTTTGTCACTCGTCAATTTTTTTTTTAAACGTTTCTCTCTAACCGAAAGTCTCTTTTTCAGTTGAAACGTGCTATTCGATATGAATTTTACAACATCGATGAAAGTCGGTTTTTAACTCCTTTCCTGGCCTATCAAGGTGATTTTATCAATGATTTTAATCATTTTAACCCTTCACTGGCAACTAGAGGTCTTTAAAAGCATCGAAATTTTGGTAAATTTAAATTTGTAAAAAAAATAAGTAAAATACAATCCGACTTTTAATCCAAAACTATAAAAATTTGCTGTTTTTCTCGTAGACTCCTTATTCATAGAAGAGTTAAAATTCCGTTACTGACAGAAGATTACATTATTATTATATACAAACATCGTAGCTTTGTATACCGTATAATCTAAAAAATATATAATTACTGCTATATGACGGAACGTGTGAACTTAGAGTACTAGACCAAGTCAGGAGAACGTAGCTTCGTCAACAAGTTTCAGAGTATTATAGACTTTAATGGGTTAAATCTACTTGTATGAAGCAGAAACTGCGATGGATTTGTCGATAAGCGCTTTAATAGATCGCTTAGAGCCTCAAAATTGTTCCGTGATATTATCACTATTTTGTAGATTGATTATGATAGAACTATAAGCGCGCGAGATATACACGATAATTATTTGAACATGTCGCATAATCAAGAAAATTATATGAAAATATGAAGTCTGAGAAGATGCAAAATTACTTGGGAATGCCTGGAAGATAGCACTGTCGCGTGTGTACTCGACACTTTTTGCACTTAAAGCAAAATAAATAAGTCGCTTACTACTAATGAGATTCTGTACTTTTTGTGAATTATGCATAATGCACCGTCCCTGTTTTTTTCCAAGCCGATTCTCTCTACGACGCGAAGAAGCGGTTGCTTTTGGTTTCAAAAATCATTACTTTAAAGCGAGGTAACTGCATTAGTAGCATCGTAAATTCACGTCAGTGTAACCGAACGAGAAACGCTATTAATCTCAGCGATGCAGTCTCTCCCACCTCATCATGCTCCGTTTCGAAAGAAATTTGTACTATAAATCATAAAAAATAAATAACGTAGTTAGCGATCCGTTTTCGTAAAAAATAAATCTTACAGAGGCAAGGCGATGCCACGCGAGTAAAATATACGAAATCCACCAGTGTATTTCTCAGTTGACACTTTGAGAAATAGTAAGAAGCTCGTAGCAAATTGAAAAGTGTATGCCGTTCGACAGGTAAAATTAGCGGCGCATTTTTAAGTGCAGCTTCTCTATAAAAGTTACTATCGCGATAACCTTATTTGCCATTAAACGCGCGGTCATACCACATTGAGCGCGATTTATGTCATTTTGTGTCGGCTAATGGGTTCTTTGAAAGACCGCTTTGAATTTCAACGCTGACCTATCGTAACGCAAGCAGGCAAGCGACATCCGCTTCGATTTGCCTCGCTCGCCCTACGGAGGGCGAAACGTCGGCCGGCTTCTCTTCCTTTGGCCGATCGATCGTAAAATATTTGCTGCAGCCTTCGCGTACGGAGGGAAAATTTCTATAATGGAGTTTACACATCGCGCCACCGGAGGGTGGGATAGGTAGAGGTTGAAGAGAGGCTGTACGGGCGCAACCCTTGCGTGTGCACGTTACACGCGATAGAGAATGTCGGCTGGGCTGATTTACAAGCGAGCACATACAACACAGGGGTGTTCGGCGCGCATAAAATTCATACACTAAATTAAATACGATCGTAAGTACCTGGAGTACTCGGGCAGGTACCGAGTACACTCGTGAAACTTCACGGAACGGAGAACGATTATTTATCTCGGGCTCACGCCCGAAGGGATTCACGTACCTGTCGTGGAAACGCGAATAATATACGCAGTTAATCCGCTCGACCATTGTTCTACGAGATCTGATTATTTGATAACGCGTTAAACGTATTTCGTCGTGCGATTAAATCGATCGCGCTTCGCTGTAACGCGGCCGTCACGTTGAAATCCCGTACTTTGTAGCCGGCGATGATAATCGTCTCGCGATAATAAATGCATAAATAAATTTATTGCTTATAAACAAATATATTGATTGTAGAATTAGAATATATACGAGTTCTAAAATTTCTGAAAATACGCGACTATCGAGTGGAATATCCTACAAAAAGACCGCTTTCAAAATGTCAGATCTTTTTAACGCTACGCGAAGAGTAATCTGATAATATTTCTCCAATATTTCAAAAATGAATCTGGCGTAGATTATAGGTCCATCCATTTCCCAAGCGATCCGATAAATGTGCAGCGCTACGATCAGGCCTGCAAATTTGAGAAATTTGCCAGAGCGTCAGCGTGAAATTCCATGAATATCCATCGATGATGGACCGTCGTCGTCGTTGACGTCAATCTTGCAGCGAAGAGCGACAACGATGCGACGGCAACGATGTCGTCGACGAGAACGACGACGTTGGCGCGCCTTTCGCCAGCATGACGAGGACCGATTAGCGCTCACAAATTCCCAAACAATGCACGAGGAATTTACGATGCCGTCGCTCCATCGTAAACTCTGGTGTGTTGGCTAACTACCGTGACACCCTTCCGACAAGGGCTGATTATGCCGCTTCGAAACGACTGAAACGTTGCAGGGCGCAAAGGGAGCGGAAGCCAAGTCGATGGGGATGATCATGCAGTGAGAGTGGCGGAGGGCAAAAGCCTGGAGGAAATAACAAGACAAAAAACGTAAAGAAAAGAAAAAAGGAGCAAAAA